GGGTTTTACGGCGCTCGCAACTGCATAAGGTCATATGAGCGCCAGAAGATTAGAGGTGTTACAAGAGAGTAACAAACATAAAAAAGAAGGAGGAGAGATCAGGATGATAGATGTTTGATAGGAAAGAAGAAGCAAACCATAGCAGAGCATGCGCCAACCAGCCACTAGGCAGGGTTGAAGCCCACCTCCTAAATGATCTAAGTTGTGCTGATGGGGGCGTACAAGACATCAACAAGTTTTTTTTTTTTTAATGTGTATTGAGGATGGAATACAGCAAAGACAAAACAAAAACAAAAAAAAAATTTTAAAAAACAACAAATTGGTCAACAACACAGAGCAAAGTGACATATTCTATATTGTTTTGTCTGTGTCGATCACATGTCATCATTTACATAACAAAAGTAGACATTACGGCAATTATGTCCAAATAATGGAGGAGAACCAGAAAAAAAGCATTATTGATCAATTACTTCGTAAAAACAAGAAACAAACCCACACACTCAGCTCTTGGAGTTTTTCCACACACAGAACCATTTCAATATGTATGCACCAACACACAGAACCATTTCAATATATATGCACCAACACACAGAACCATTTCAATATATATGCACCAACACACAGAACCATTTCAATATATATGCACCAACACACAGAAAAATACAACAACAAAAAAAAAGGAAATGTCATATGTTCGCTTACACAGACACACATGCACACACGCACACGCGCACACACACACACACACACACACGCAAATACGCACACACACACACATGCAAATACACAACACACACGCACACACAGCGGACTGATAGAACTTTTTGCTCTTCACCAAATTCCACATCAAATATCAATGCTGAATCAACATAATTGCACAATTGGAATAATAAAGAGCAAAACAAATAATTCATAAATGTGCAACACAAATTCATCTCTTTCACAATTCCAAAACACAACTGCACAAGACAAACTCAAATCTCAGTTGCACAAGACAAACTCAAATCTCAGTTGCACAAGACAAACTCAAATCTCAATCTTCAATCTTCAGTAACACAGACAGATAACAGCGGTTGGCTTTCTAAACACACACAAAAAAATCCTGAACTTTACAGTACAGACCCTGTGAAAACGTAAACGTGCGAGCGAGGGTTCCAAACTTACGGCTGATAAAGTGTAATACATCTGGGATCAAGATTGCCTTTATAGAAAGAGAAACAGGTTCCCAACTACTGGCCTCAAGTCGGGCATAACTGGACAAACTTATCATTTTAGTTTAAGTAAGAGTTTTACGGCACTTGCAACACAATAAGGTCATATAGGTGCCGAAGATTGGAGGTGTTACAAGAGCGTTACAAACACAAAAAAAGGAGGAGGAGAGATCAGAACGATAGATTTTTGATAGGAAAGAAGGAGCAAACAACCCTAGAGCACCCGCCAACCACCCACGAGACAGGGGAGACAGTAGGAAACACTCGACAGCTTCTCCTCCCACTCGGTGCAGTGACGAGCCCAGCGACCACGCGACCAATCAGCCCTTTCAACTATCACAAAACTCAAGAAACAACAAGATATGCAGAGAGTAAAACATCAAACTAAATCCTTCAACTTTTATACAGGTTGAAAAAACAAAACTTTAGAAAGCAACCATTTCCCAGGAAACAAGGAAAACTTGTAATAGAATACAGTTTCAATCTGTCAAGGCTGTCATGTGATCGCAACATTGGGCCACCTCCCAGCCACACAAGACTTCTCTCCCCTAGCTCCCTCACGCTCCCCTTCTGCCCACACAACTCTTTTAGTTTTAGCAAGAGTTTTACGGCACTTGCAACACAATAAGGTCATATAAGTGCCGAAGATTACAGGTGTTACAAGAGAGTAACAAACACAAAAAAGAAGGAGGAGAGATAATGACGATAGATGTTTGATAGGAAAGAAGAAGCATCCACACCAGAGCACCCGCCAACCACCCACTGGTAGCAATTTGCGAGATACCGCTCATCACATTGCGACCTCAGTGCTTTCTTGTCCTGTCTCCATTTTTATTAACAGTGAAAACAGTTCATAACAAAGAGTGAGCCTTAAGAAGAAGTCACACTTTCACTGCTTACAAAATGGAGATATGACAAGAAAGCAGCCAGGTCGCGATACAATGCTTGAGTCAATACTTCAAGGTCATGCACACACCTAATTGTTCTCAACATACACACATACAAGGTGGGCTATTCAGCAAATATCAACTTGTACCTGGCAGAACCACCCACAATGACTACCACTCACACATTCTGTCAATCATTACGGGCCTCCTACCTGGCAGAACCACTCACACATTCCGTCAATCACTACGTGCCTAGTACCTGGCAGAACCACTCACACATTCCGTCAATCACTACGTGCCTAGTACCTGGCACAACCACTCACACATTCCGTCAATCATTACGTGCCTAGTACCTGGCACAACCACTCACACATTCCGTCAATCATTACGTGCCTCCTACCTGGCAGACGCCCACAGAAGCAGACGAGTTGCATGCAGGCACAGCCTCAGACAACACACACAGCAAAGTTATTACCTGTGAATTTACAAGATTTGGGTACCGTGACCACACAGACCTAAGTGTGCACCGGATCTGAACACCCACCCTGCGTCTTGTCTTACAGTGGGGTACATTTGTTTGTTTTAGTAGAGGTTTTACGGCGCTCGCAACTGCATGAGGTCATTTGAGCGCCTAGGGGTGGATGTCAACAGAGAAGTCTTTACAGGGAATCAGGCTTACTCTGCTCACCTCTTCACATCGCACTCACCAACAAAGACAATGACAATCCAGAACCACCCACACTGACTACCACTTCCACATTCAGTCAATCATTACGTGCCTAGAACCTGGCAGAACCACTCACACATTCAGTCAATCCTTACGTGCCTCTGTGTTTTGTCTTCCTCGTATACTTCCTACTCCTTCCCGACTAGTTGGATATTGCCAGCGAATAAAATGTCGACGACAAAATGTACGATACCTGAATGAAAGAAAAGGAAAAAAAGACTGCCAATTTGGGCAACATTCATATTACCGTAAGTTCTGATCAAACAGAACAAAGAGAGAAAAACAAAAACAAACATGGGATTGTCAACACACTCCTCTGTATCATTTGCCATATATAT